TTTTGTAGCAGTCCCCCTCGCCCCTCCCCACCCTGATTTAGGAATCCAGTTCAGGATCATGCGTTGTATTTAGTTGTCATTTCCTTTCCCTCTTAAGTGACTCTTATGTATAATGGGCCCTGAACCCCACCTCAGTCAGACTGTGTTCTCCTTGTACTCTTGACTTGCAGGCTAGGAAGCTTGGCATCATCTCTGACTCCTCTCCGTTTATGACTTTGCTCTTCTAAATGAACTGTCCCCTTTAGGAAGGATGGGATACCTGCCTAAAATTCTGATGGCACATGGCAGGGCAGAGGGCATCACCATGGGTGGGTGGCTGTGGCCTCACAGAGTGGTTTGACCTGATGATTTTAACAATGTCTAATCCATAGCCTTATCTGCTCAGAGACTTTTTAAAAATCTACCCAGAGATGAACATACTTTAGCGTCATGCGTTGTCACAAAGTTCAAGTGAGGCTGGCTAATAAAACGTCATTTCTAGATATTTATGTGCTCAACAGTCATTTTTAGTTACTTAAGTACCCTCATCCTCACCCTCATCCAAAGCTGGCTAGTAGGATTAGTGGTAATTAATTATTAGAAATAATTAGAATAAGGGACAATTCCTTCAGGACATGTTAAGACCCAAAGCAGAGATCACACACCTCTGAGTAATTGGAATCTCTGAATCCCTACCAGATTGAGCAGGTCCTGTGTGGATGTAGCTGCTACAGTAATTTGCCTCTCTAAATCCCATTTTTCTACATTTTCTAGATCTTTATGTTGGACACGTTATTTCTTGTACTGGCTGAGTTGAGATATGTAGCTTTTCTTAATCCCGAAACTGTTTCTAAGGGCTTACGAGAGTTTAGTTCTGAGAAGGAACCTTCTTTATTTCTAGTTTCTAAGTTCTTCACATATACTTCAGAGTCACACATGCGCTTCTTACAATTTATATGCACTCTTTCGGGTAATCAAACTATAGACTTGATATATCAGGATATGTTTGTAAGCAGTAGAAAATCCAAATAAACCTGGTTTAAACAATAAATTGGCTTGTGTAACTATGAGATCCAGTCATAGGATAAGCTCTTGATGATGTTTCGATTCAGAGATTCATGAGCTTGTCAAGGCCTTGCTTTCCATAGCTTTCCATGGTGTCGGCTTCATGTTTCAGGCTGGACTTCCTCCTGGTGATAGAATCGCTGCAGCAGCCCCAGACTTCACATCCACATGGCACACTGTATAAACACAGAGCCAGTTGATTTCTCTCCCAAAGACCTCAGCAAGTCTTTTTTCTTATATTTTACTGGTCTGAACTGAGGCAGTATGCCCACTGCTGAGCTAATCCCTGTGGTAGGGGTGTGTAGCGCAGTGACAGGCTTAGGCCTGGACTATCGGACTAATTAGGAATTAGTGACAAGAGAAATAGGATTACCCAGAGTAAAATCGGGCTGCCCAGGAGCTTTGCGTGACACCTGCTTCCCCTGAAGCGCTTGGGCTGCATAGTGAGGGGGGCGGGGAGGATGGAATGGATACACGGTGAAAATTTGGGGTACTCTAAGGAAGAGGGAAAGGAGGAGTGGGTGTTGGATGGGCAACTAACACAGTGACTCTTCTTTTCCAGGTATATGCAGAGCTTCCTTGAACTTTTAGAGTATGAAAATAAGAGCCCTGAGGATCCAAAGGTCTTGGATAAGTAAGTATGGTACCAAACTTACCTGAAAGTAAAAAGATCTAGATAAAAAATGTTTCGGTAAATGGAACTCATGTCATAATAAATAGCTAAGAAGTATAATTCGGATGACAGCATTAGGTTTCTTAATGGGTAACGACTCAACATTGCATTTTAACAAAGATCCGAGTAAAGAATTTAACAGAATACAAAAGAATGACTCTTCAAATTATGCTTCACGATCTAATTCTTAATACCTTTTACTCTTGGGGAACCGGAGCTGGGTACTCAGGATAAATATTGCAGTAAATGTTCCACCTAGTGGTCATTTTAAGAATGCAGTGGCCTCTGTGTATACATGAATTTATCTACTCAGTCCTTTACAATTATTTTTTTAAATTTTCAACGCAGTGTTATAGTTGAACTCAGAAAAACTATAATTTTTTATATAACGACCAGAATTATATTGTTGCTATTATGCACAAAGACCGCTAAATTTTCATGCTGATGGAAAATATTTGTTTTTCATTTTCATTTAACCAGAAAACACTAACCTTAGCTCTGAGTGTGGTTGTTTTCTCCCAAGAGAAGTTAAGTATCCCCTTCACATAACTTTCTTCCTGTTTCATGTACATACGAGTGCACACGGCAGGCCTGTTGTGCTGAAAAATTTCTAAGTAGAAACCTGGTCCCCATAATTGTGAGACTGAACATCTTACATATAGGTGTTCATAAAACAAAACAAAACAGAACGAAACTAGAGAACCACCATGTTATACAAGACCTTACCTCGCGATATTTAACCCAGCCCGCTCAATTCAAAGATAAGGAAACTGAGGTCACAGGTATGAGGTCACTTGCCCAAGATCATAACATTAATTAGTAGCAGAGCTGGATCTGTAAATCACATTTTTTTCCCCTTAGAACATTATTCTTTACGATGTACCATGCTGCCAGAGCTGCTGGTTTGAGCCATGAGTAGCTAGCTCGAGTTTAATTGTGAATTAAAATATAAAGGGGAAAAAAACTCCTGACCTGTTTTATACTTTGCTGGATGTTTTGTATAATGGATCTGTGAAACGTGGAAGGGAGGCATTGGTTAGAGCCCAAATGCGATGTTTTCTTTGCTATCAGCTCTTGCTGTCATTTAATATATTAAAATTAGATGAATTGAATTCAGAAGTTTTGTTTTCTCAAAAGTCATTAGCTAGTAACAGTTTGTTTGGCTGATATCCTAAAAATTAGGCCTGACCTGTCTAGCTTCAAAGTTTCAGGATATAGATTTGTGGAAGTATGTGATACTAAATTTCTGCTATGTGGTTCCCAGAGTCCTGTCTCAGTTTCTGGAACAGGTTGTTTCTGGAATAGGCCGATGCGATTTATGGATATGAGCCTGCTTTGTAAACTGCTAGGTGCTGGATCCAGTGTGCACAAGATCATAATGATAATAGCTCTCACTCAGTGAGTTTCAGTAACTCACCCATGGTTCATGCAGCTACTTAGGATAGTTGGGATCTTAGAGTCCTGACACTCATGGTGAAGGAAGGAGTGAAAAGTGAGTGAGTCATTTTACTCATGGTAGTAGCCTTTTCTGTTCAATAAGAGGTCATATTAGAGTCATGGGCAGGGAAATCATTTAAGTAAACGTGAAAGTAGCTTAGAGAACAAGCATGTGTATATAATGATAAAGTGTAGAAGAGCCCCAGAAGTTTGGGGAAGTATTCTGAGAATTGAACCACTGAGGCAAGTTTCCTCCCTTCAGATAAGTTGAGGCACTTGTCTATTTTAATGAATTGTTTCACTTTAGTACTATTTAATTTATAAATATGTTGGAAAAAGCATTATGTGAAGGACAAATTTGCCATCGTAAAATTTCTTGTAAATAATTATGACCTTCTAATTTCAGAGTTGATTTATTCATCTTTACTGTCTTCGTACATATTTTTTACAGAAATATGTCATCATTGAGAAAAATAAGACTATTCAGATAAGTGAAAAGAAAGTCACCCCACATTTCCACTGCCAGGGGACAACCGCTGTTAACATTTTCCTTTCATCCATACTTTTAACTAGGCATACATATTTCTATAAGTACAAAATATTTTTTTACAAAAATAACAATGTCGACATTACAGATCTCGCCATTTTCAATAGTTTCATAGTGGTCCAACTATAGATGTCATGGGATTTGACCTCCTGTCGTTGGGTTTTAGAATGGTTTGTAGTTTTCTTGCGACTATGAACAGTGCTCTAAAGAACAGCTCTTAAATACGGCTGTTGCCCTTGTCCCGTTACTTTTCCGGGATCAGTTCCTGGGACTGGAATGACTTTCTTCGGACTTTTGCTATATGTTCCTAAGTTGCACCTAGAAATGCATCATTTATGCTTCCACACTCTAGCTGACCCTGGTTATTCTTTGCCAGTCCCATAAATGGAGAATAGTACTGCATCGTTTAATTTGTTTTTCTTTTATTTGCGAAGGTGAAGTTTTTGGCATTTGTGTTTCTTCTAGTAAATCTCCTGTCGACGACAGATTCCTTTGCTTAGTTTTCTGTTATGGTGCTCATCTTTTCCTTTATTAAGGATAGTGACTCTTGCAAATATGTTTTTCCCAGTTTTCATTTTTTTTTTGTGACTTTATAACGTGTGTCCCTATAGAATTGCTGAAATTCAACGTAGTTACATCGTTTGTTTCTTCATGTTTTCTGCCTTTGGTTTTCAGCTTAGAACAGCCTTCCTTACTCCAAGGTTACATATTAACTCACCAGATTTTCTTTTATCATCTCTGTGATTTCACCTTTTACTTTTTTTTATTTTTAGTTTTTGATTTAACTCTTTTAAATTAAAAAATTTTACCCACTTTTTGGCTTAAGGCTTGACATTGGGGTGTGACTTAAATTGTTAGCCAGCTGTCACAGCTAATTTGATTGTTTCTCTACTGACTTGCAGTGTCACTTTATCAATATGCTAGATTTTTATACACACATACTCACCCTTGGGCCTGTTTCCAAGCTTTTTATTTGGTTCCATTGACCTTTCTTTCTCAATTATCATTCTTAATATATTTTTCCTTCTGCATCTTTATAATAATACACCATAATTCTTGAATAGGTTTGTTTCAATTGCCTTTGTTCTATCTATATTTCGTCACTATATTCTACGGCTGTGAGAGATTTATTTCAAGATTTTACTCTTCAAAACTTTGACATTATTTATTCATGGAAACTAATGCTTTGAGAATCCCTAATAAATTCTTGAAAAAATTTTTGGATTGTCCTCATGTCAGAAAGGATAATGATGTTCCGCAATCATTTATTCAGCAAACATTTATAGAACCTGTATTATATATACTCACTTATCCAAAAAGTCAGTGGATTACTAAAAAGGTATTTGAGCATTTTTTTCTTTACAAAACCATTTACTTTTTGTGTCTCCGAAAGAAAAATTTCCGTAGAAAGTTTCAGGCAAAAACTTGGGTAATACTTTAGTTGCTTGTGAGTTCTTCCTTGTAGCCTGTAATGATGTCTCTACCTATAAAAATACCAGCAGACCGGAGGTGGAGCTGGGAGGTTTATGCATCAGCCGTGGGATATAAAGACTGACCACTTTTGTTTCCCTCCCACACAGCTTTCTACAAGTTCTGATTAAAGTGAGAAATAGACACAATGATGTGGTTCCTACAATGGCACAAGGAGTGATCGAATACAAGGAGAAGTTTGGGTTCGATCCATTCATTAGCAGTAACATTCAGTATTTTCTGGATCGCTTTTACACCAACCGCATCTCCTTCCGCATGCTTATTAACCAGCACAGTAAGTTGGGGGTTTGGTCCAGTTTTGAAATGGTAACCAGAGTGATTTGTCCCAAATGCTTTTCTGTTGCTTCACTTTTAATTTACAGATCCACACTTTTGTCTGTAGAAATTTCATTTCCAGTTTAGGTTTTTCTAAGTAAATCCTGTCTATTAAAAAGCTATTCATTAGTATTCATTGTTAACAGAAATCCTGGCAAGGCTTTTTTTGATGTTCATATTAGAGACAGGACCACTGCCTGCCTTTTAAGCCTCTGCCATTACATTTCCGGTGCGGGGGAGGTCCAGCTTTAATGGCAGCTGGACAGTCATCTCTGAATATTTTCACATGTCTCAGAGAATGTTCTAGTCTTTATCCAGGATGTTAGGTGGTTTCCCTTTTGGTTTTAAAAACATTGATCCTGAGGATATTGAATTGGCATGTTGCCAGTATAAGCAATCAATCTTTTATTTCACAGTGATCAGTGAAATCAGATTAAGTGAATTGTCAAACCATAGTCTCGTCTTGAGAGTTTTAGTCCACTCTCCAAGCTGATAAGCAGCTAAGAAAAAAAACAACTAAAATTCTCTCTACAAAAAACTTTTTGGCTCATTGTCAGTGTTGTCTCTGCCCGATTTTATCATTCTTACGAGAAAGCATCCACACGTCTAGAGGCTAGATCATTCTCTTTGCTGAATCAGAAAATGGACACTGCATCTTTATTTTACTTGTTTTATTTGGATAAATGACTGTTATACAGTTATTAAATGTGGGTTGGTCCCAAGTGTATACTTTTTAAAAACTAGAAACATGTGACAATTTATAGGAAATTTCAAAAGAAAAAAAGAACCTAAATAATGCTTAACTAAACTACTTAGATAACTACGATTTCTTTCTAGCCCAAATATGTGTGCCTACATATATAAATACATGTTTTCAGATCACTGACTAAGCTTGTGCACGTCTGTTTTTCTTTCACTTAATCAGCTGGAACTTTATGTATTGGCCTAATGCCCACATTTGTCATTTCTTATCATTTAAAATCTCCCCTTTTTTATTTAAGCATTCTCCTTTTGTAAAATAAGTTAGTCCCAATTTTTGTTTGATTTAAAAGTAAGTACACCAATAAATAATTACTTAATCAGTAAGTAAATAAAATACACTTATAAACACTTAAATTCAGAGGACTTTTTTCTTCGGGGCTCCTTTTAGCTTTCATTCGGGAATAAAATTTTGCTAATTTTGTGTACTGTGGAAGTATTTGAATGTACTTTTAAAAATACTTAAACAAATATCGTTCGCGCGTACTACATTGAAAAATAATCTCCATGCTGGAGGCATTTGAAATGTTCACGGTGAAGATATTTTGCAAACCTGCTCTCATGGCGCAGACTGCATTTTCTAAATATTTAGTGAATATTGGAATAAACGTCTGGGGTAGTACTGAGAAGGTGGGTAAACTTGGCTAAGGATGAAAGGAAATTTTTTCATCCAAGTCACATCGGGTCAGGAAGAAAGGATTGGACGCCTGGCATGGGTCACTGCTTTAGGACCTGCCGACTATAGCTGGCAGGTCTTAAAGCACGTCCTTCCTCCTTCGCTGTCTGTTAGTCACCCATCTCTGTATATATTCTATTACTTTAAGTCACCGTGGCTGCTAAAATGATTCTTCTAAGTACGAGAATCCTTTCAAAACTTATAAACCAATGTATTTCTCTGCTTGCTTTGTTCGTAATCTCTCTCTTCCCTTTTATGTTTGTTTAGCACTTCTGTTTGGTGGTGACACTAATCCTGCTCATCCCAAACACATCGGAAGTATTGATCCCACCTGCAGCGTGGCTGACGTAGTGAAAGGTAAGGAGACGGGCTGTAATGTTAGCCATTATAGTCCAAATAAGACTGGTTTAATCGAGGCAGCTTGGTGATAGGGTTATGTTGCTAAGTCGTTTGCTGGGTCATGAGGCCACTCAGGGCCCAAGCCACTTGATTGAAATACGAAATGTTCTTTCTAGGCAGGTCAAGAAAAGATGCAGAATTCATAATGCTCAAAATAGGGGTTTCCACTTCATTGTCTAGGGTTTTACTTGTAGTTCTATCTTAAACCGTACACATTTGTCAGCTTAAGTAAGATTCTAAGTTTCGATTGCCACCATTATCTGAAAATTTCAGAGAATGTAAATTCTCATTATAAAATTCAGCTGGATTCATGTGTTTGTAAAATTTAAACATCTTTCTGATATGCAGCCCATGCTTTAGAGTCTACATGGTCTGTGCGCTTCATGGGGGTCACTGAACATTGAGCTAGACACTGTCCCAATAGCCTCGGGGTAAAACAGAGCCCCAGAGCCATAAGTCCCTAGTGCCAGCGCACTTCAAATCGGAAGGACAGTTTCCTTGTTACTCATCCAAGGCAGATGCTAGCTGCAGAAAGCTTTCCCTGTTATAAGTGACCTACCAGGTTTCTGGACCTCTTCAGTATCATGATTACTCTATGCAGCCTCAGATCCCTAAGCTGTCTCTTTCCAAGTCTGTATCTCTTACTGTGTGTGGCTCTCCTCTCCCTCCTCTAAACCTCTAAACACACACTTAAAAGATTCCATGGCCACAAGTCTCCTGGTCTTCATCAGGGATCTTTGTTGCTCATACTTTTTCTGAACTGTGTAGCTGAGAGAGTAGGTGGCAGAAGAGGACCTCGTCTCCCTGGTGAAGCTCTCAACCCCATCTCAAGCAGAGTGACCTTTGCTACTGGGATTGGAGAGCAAAGGGAGGTGGCCCGATGTGTTCAGCCTTCCCAGTGAGAGAACAGACTGTACCTTCAGCAGCCATAGCTAAGGAAAACCTATGCCGTTTGTTTTCCCTGGGCATTTTTAAGCTCAAGAAGAAGGACCCAGGCCTGGGGCCTTGTGCTCAGTGTAGAATTGCCAAAACATTCTGGCCTCTGTTTAATTAGGAAACACTCAAATTATTTCAACTATAAGGTGAATAGGCCTGGCCTCAACTCCCTAAGAATGCTGTAGGTTGCTCTCTTACAAAATAACCCTGTGGTCGATCATGACCTCTGCAGGCCTCCCAGGCAGGGAGGGGTGCAGGATCGGTCTTGTCAAAGGTCATATGTTCATTAAATCTTAGCCCAGGACTTTTATGAATCAGAAAGCCAGGTTCAGATAGTTGACTGCTTGAAGAGAAAACGACACACATTCATAACACAAAACTGCATTATATACTACATGTGTGCCTTTTCTCTTGAACTGTAAAGAATTTGAGGTCAGGCTAACTAACGTAGAAGTTGGTCAATAAATGTTCCTTGGTTAGATAAATTTGAAACCTTTCGAGATTTACTTTTTTAAAAACAGCTTTATTGAGATGTGATTCTCATACCAAACAATTTACCCATTTAAAGTGTACATACAACTCAGTGGTGTTTAGTGTGCTCGCAGAGCTGTGCACCCATCACCACAACCAGCTTTGCATTTTCATCACCCCAGAAAGAAACTCAGTAACCATTGGCAGTCATTGCCCCCATCCCAGCCATGGCCAACCACAGATCTGCTTTGTCTCTACAGAATTGTTATTCTAGACATTTCACATAAATGGAATCCTATAATATGTGGTCCTTTGTGTGTCTTGCTTCTTTCACTTAGCATGTTTTCAAGGGTCATCCATGTTGTCGCATGCATCAGTACTTCATTCTTTTTTATAGCTGAGTAATATTTCATTGTATGGATAGACCACATTTCGTTTCTCTATTTATCACCTGTTGGACATTTGGGTTAGCTGAGTGACCTTGGACATGTTATATAACCTCTTTGGACTTCAGTTTCTTCATCTGTACAGAGGTGCTATTGGTAATTTACCTGTACATTGGGTTAAGTGAATTAATATTTGTAGAGCCCTTAAAGAAGTTCTAGCACCCAGTCAGGGATGTAGACAAGTTCACTAGCAGTAGTCCTTGGCCATCGTGCACGTCATGTGGCTTCTCATTCATACCACTGATGGTACAATAAGTTGGTGCCTTTACTTATGTTTCTGACATAAATTATAAAATATTTTAAAAAGTCATTTAGGGCATTTATAACACAACTGGATATTTTTTAATTTATTTTACTTATATGTATTTATTTTATTAGTTTTAAGTATACAGTACATTGGTTAGACATTAGACAGTACATTTATATAGTTTATAAAACGATCCCCCTGATTGCTCTTTCCTCTGGCCCTCCACCTAGCCAGCATATTAATGCTGACTGCATTCCTTATGCCGTGCTCCCCCATCCCCGTGACCATCTATCAACTACTAATTTGTACTTCTTTAACCCTTCACCCCTTTCTCCCAGCCCTCCAACCCTCCTCCCCTCTGGCCATCACGAGATTGTCCTCTATATTTGTGAGTCAGTTTTTGATTAGTTGGTTCTTTTTGTTCCTTAGATTCTGCATATAAGTGAAATCATATGATATTTACCTTTCTCTGTCTTATTTCTCTGACTTATTTGACTCAGCGTAATAACCTCTAGGTCCATCCATGTCTTTGAAAATGGTAGGATTTCATTTTTTTTAATGGCTGAGTCATATTCCATTGTATATATGAACCATAACTTCTTTATCCAATCTTCTGTTGATGGGCATTTAGGTTGCTTCCATATCTCGGCTACTGTAAATTGTGCTGCCATGAATATTGGGTGCATATACCTTTTTGAATTATATTTTTGTTATCTTTGGATAAATATCCAGAAGTGGAAATGCTGGGTTGTATGACAGCTCCATTTTTAATTTTTTGAGGAATATCCATACTGTTTTTCATAGTTGTTGAACGAATTTACAATCCTACCAACAGTTTAAGAGGGTTCCTTTTTCCCCATACCCTCACCAGCACTTGTTATTTGTTGATATTTTTAATGATAGCCATTCTGATATGTGTGAGGTGATATCTCATTTTGGTTTTGATTTGCATTCCCCTGATTAGTGATGTGAGTATCTTTTCACATGTCTTTCAGCCATCTGTATGTCCTCTTTGAAGAAATATCTATTTAGGTCCTCTGACCATTTTTTAAATGGATTGTTTGTTTTTTGGTGTTAAGTTGTATGAATTTATTTTAGATATTAACCCCTTATCAGATGTATCATTGGTGAATATCTTCTCCCATTTAGTAGGTTGTCTTTTCTTTTTGTTGATGGTTTCCTTCACTCTGCAAAAGCTTTTTAGTTTGTGCCTATGTTTGCTTCTAGAAGTTTTATGGTTTCAGGTCTTACATTTAAGTCTTTAATCCATTTTGAGTCTATTCTTGTATACAGTGTAAGAATGTGGTCTGGTTTCTTTTTTTTTCCCATGTATCTGTCCAATTTTCCCAACACCTTTTATTGAAGAGACTGTCTTTGCCCCATTGTATATTCTTACCTCTTTAAGACAACTGAATCTTTGACATTAGAGAAATATCATTAATTTTTTAGGTGTGCTATTGGTATTGTGGCTATGGTTTTTAAAGGAGTCCCAGCTTCAAGAGAGGTATTTTAAAATATTATGCATAGTCTCTGGCCACGCTGCCCTAAACACACCCGATCCCGTCTGATCTCGGAAGCTAAGCAGGGTCAGGCCTGGTTAGTGCTTGGATGGGAGACCACCAGGAAGACCAGGTGCTGTAGGCGTAAAAAGACTATATATTATGCATAATATAAAATGACATGTGGGATTTACTTCAAATTACTCAGAGCAGTTGGTGTTGGTGGTATGGTGGCAAGCATAGCTGCCTTCCAAATTACACAGAGGAGGAAGGGTAGTGAAAAAGATTGGGCATGTGTTGAAAACTCTTGAAGCTAGTAATGGGTACCTGATGATTCAGTATATTATACTCTGTCCTTTTGCATATGTTTGCAGTTTCTCATAAAAAAATTGTAAGAACAGTTCATTTTTCACCTCATCGTTTCTTCACAAATAGTCTTTCATTAATTTTTAGAGAGATTTTAACCACAAATCAGTACAACTAGATAAGTGTCGGGGAGTTTCAGGGAACTGTGAGCCCTTCTGTAGAGCATAGAGATGAGCAACGCTAAAGTGGGTCAGAGGCCTCTTAGGAAAGTATGAGGAGGCACCTGTTGCGACTTGACTCTTGAGGCAAAAAGAATCTGCTTTTTCAGCAGTTACTGTCTATACTGCTCGTATCAGACGATGTTGACCTCTCTAACCGGAGTGTCTACTTCTAAAGGTCTGGAATTATTCTTATCCACTTTTGCATCACTCTTAGGGACAGAAGTTTTGTACTTTTAAAAACTAGCTGAAGAGTATGTGCAAAACAATTTAATTAGCATTCGAAAGACAGAAACCGGAAGTTTATGCCTACAGCCTGCCTCGCGGCCTCCTGCTCTCTTTGTCCTTTGTAGCCCGATTTCCGACCATAGGCGGATGTTCTCCTCTCTCCTCCCTCTTCCTGTGCTAACTCAAAGCATTCTTCACTCTTTCTTGTGCCCCTTTTGACTTTTCTCCCAGTGAGACCACTATTGTGCTGTGAACAAAGTTTACTACATCCTCTCATTTAATCATTCCTACTCCTTGTTTGGCATGACTTGAAGCCTGGATTCCTAGTGAGGCCGTGTCCAATAAAAATCTCCCCCAGGTCCCTCTGCCACTTGGAACGCCACTTTCCCCAACACGTATGCAAGCACACACACCCCTACGCCCACACTCATGGGATGAGGAGGAAGTACTGGCGTGCTCCCTCCCTGCTCCCCACTGCATCTTTCAAACCATGGTTGGCTTTTCTTGACAGTGTCTTCCCTTAAGGAAAGCATCAGTGCTGGGTGGTTTCAGATTCTGAAAATGCAAAAACACATAAAAGAAACATCCACATAATCAACTCTTCTGC